CGGCCATATCACAGGAAGACGGGTTTGAAATACCAAATACTATAACAAAGACGATGTTTGACCGGCTGCCTCGAGTAGAGTGACACTATAGGACCACGTGAAGGGCTTTTATTATCTCATTTGCATAATCCCCGGGGACTCAAATTAGCAATGCAAATTGAGTTTGCATAGGACATGTTTTAGCGGCTATTTACACCACAGGTCACACACCAACATTTGACAGAGGGGATTAACCTTGTCAACCCAAGAAAGGCGATGCAATCAAAACCTTGTTCTGAAAATAGTTCACAGCCTCATTAATTCAAAACACAATTAACTTTTTTCTAATCTTACTTGAACAAGGGGTCTTATCATGTTCATTTATACATTTCTTACAAATACCGGGTTGGGGTTTTTGTCATTCTGAAGAAGGGAAAAATAAGTAAATAAAAAAGTCGGCCTATTCTTAATTCTTGTAGCGGTAATACGATTCGTTGCTACTACGTGTACCGCCGTGTCGTGAATTTATATATTTCCAAAACAATATATAGCGGTTGATAAAGTATCAAYCCATCAAAATGGCGATTACACAAGGATTTTAGAAAATAAGCCCCCTCTCATTTGTTCCTAAATTCATTTTTGCAGTCAGTAACAATCTTGGGGGAGGAGTGGGGTGGTCTGTGGCCGGCCTGGCTCCACCGGCTCCGGAAAATTGTGGGGGAGGGGTGGTAGCATGACTCCGCCGGCTCCTCGCTCCTCATGGCGTAGAACCCTCACCCTTTCTTTTGTTTCTAAATTCATTTTTGCAGTCAGTAACAATTGTGGGGGAGGAGTGGGACCTGGCTTCGGTTGCTCCAGAAATCGTTGGGGAGGGGTGGTAGCCTGGCTCCGCCGGCTCCTCGCTCCTCATGGCGTAGAACTCTCATTTCATATCTACTAGTATTGTTAACCTGTGGGAAGAAGTGGTACAAACCTACTATTATACCTTATCAAATTATCGCCGTATTAATGAATGATGTTTGCTCTTCAAACAATTTGAACGACAGGAAAGAATTTGTAACCCTGTCGCGAAACGAATCTTCTTTAACACCTTTGTCCTTTAGCCCTCGCTCAACACTTTCAAAGATATCGCTGGTTGTTGAAGTTTCTTTGCTCCAGGATGAAAATCCAACATTACTGATAGTGCTGGGTACAGTCGATGTTCTCGTCTCAAAACTTTCACTTGGTTCAGCTTTATTTAATACAGGGGGTACGACGCCGTTATAACACTTGTTGTCAGTGGCGATAGAATGCAACCGTAAGTACAGCGATGGCAACCGCAATCGCTAACTTTCCTTTCCAGCGCCATATTTTAGTCATAATCTACCTCCACAAAAAAATATTCATTCCTTTTTCGAGAAGCTTAAGTTCTCAAGCTTATTAGATTTTGAGATTCAATCGTTTACCAGTTTTCATCTGTTTTTGTGTGTATAAAAGGTACGCGGAAATCACGAACTACAAAAGTTTTCGAAAAAAAGTTTACATGCATCAGTTAAACTTGACAAGAGGCTGAGACAAAATAAAAAATAAATACAAAATGCAATGCAAAATGCAAAATAAAAATTTTCTTTGTCAGTAAGTTGGTTTTTGTAAATGTTTTTGAATGTTTTTTTAGCTTTTTAAAGTGAAAGACAAGGTCTTTTTACAAATAGACACTTGTGTATATGTACACATAGACACTTTGTATATGGAGTCGTATATGGACACTGCAAAAAATCAACTTTTTTTATGCTCATTTTAGAAGTCCTAAATGTGAATGAAAGTATGTTACTGTAATAACTGAATTATCAGTTTATACACGTTTTGAGCTTCAACAATTCAAAACCCTCAAACACATGGAAAAAATAGATTTTGTAGGAATTTTTGTTCGACTATTTGTCGTAACTTYATATGTCATTCAATATTTAAACAAATTATCTATAGAAATATGTAAAACTATTGAATTTTTAAAAGTCCTCTTTTTTTTGGCGATAGGACCCCGCGATAGGAGGCGAACGTCGGAGCTGCTTTTTCTTCAACGAAAAACTTACGATAGTCGATAAAAAACAATCGAATTTGTCGTAATATGCTCTCCTTTTAATATTTCAATAATAAATTAGAAGATATAAAATAAGAAAATAAAAACAATTAACCAATCAGCGCGCGMAAAATTTGTAAGTTATTGTAAAAAATCGATTTGCACAAATAAAGATTGTAATTGTTATTGTAGTTGTTGTTCTTGTAGCAAGCCGTTGCCGTAATGTAATCATAAAAATAAAATATAAATCAARCTTAGTACAATAGATAAATTTTCTGAAAACATCACCAATTATAGATTACACCATAGTTATACTGCAGAGATACTGCAGTATTAACTATGATTACACAGGGGCCCCARTCCCAATATAGATTAATCTCCTGCCCAGTCCACATTGTGGTTACTCGGTCATGCACAGGGTGTTCTTTCACAGGTTGCATCAGCTTCGTGTTCTCAAATATTCCTCTTTAATTCGACGTTTCTTTGCTACTACATCAGCTAAGATGGTACTGGACCTTGATCTGTTTAGGGTAGATAAAGGGGGCAACCCGGATAAAATACGGGAGAACCAAAGTAAACGGTATTCCGACGCGACTTTAGTCGATCAAGTCGTAGAAGCCGATTCTCAATGGAGAAAAAGTAAGTTTGCTTAACGCTTCCACACTTCCTCACTTCCACTTTAACCATTTTTCAACTAATATTGAATTGTATCTTGTAGTACGATTTTCTTTGGACAACTGGAATAAACTGCGAAACCTCTGCAGCAAGCAAATTGGTGAGAAAATGAAGGTAATGGAATACTAACCTATTATTATTTACCGGCAAAATTTGAGCTTGTCTGCACGTGTACACATTGGTTTGAAAGAAAAAATAAGAAACTTAAAAATATCATAGAGAATAAACCTTTCGTTCAAGTTTTGTTTCAGAAGCTGCCTGCATTAAAGAATACCACAAAATGATAAAAAAACCACAATACAAATTCCATACCAATAAACTTGAGATTTTTAGTAGATTACGATCAAATCTTAGCATAACCTTCCATCATTTGTTGTCTTTGTTGGAAGGGCAACTATCTCCAGTCCCTAAAGAATGTGTATTTCCATTCATTATTGATGGGTTGCAAGCATTCCCAAGAGAGTTAAAAGACAAAAACATGGCGGCGTGGGTAGATGAGAAGATTTAGGGAGGCTCTAATTCATTTCATTCATATGAGTCTTTTTCTTTTTCATTTCTGTTAAATTTCAATTAAGAATTCTAGACTGTAATCTTATCTTTAAATTTGCTGAATAATTTAAGCATTAAAGAGTTCAACTTTCAATTCAACTATTCCATTTTTTTGTCAAAACAGAGTAAACAAAATTAAACTTTAAAAAAAAATTCATTTGTGTGCTTCTTTGTGCTTGCACATGTGAATTTTTATGGAAAGCATGGGTGGCGTAGTGGTGAGAGCGCTCATCAATCCGGCTCGGGTTTGATTCTTGGACTTTTCGTATATGGGTAGAGTTATTTGTTGGTTCTCTATCTCCTGTGCTTCGAGGGTTTTTCACCGGGTTCTCCAGTTTTCCTCCCTCAGCAATGAAAATTGGGCCTAGATGAAAATTACTCTGTTTAATACTCCAGTTTTGAATTCTCTTTGCTCAGCCTTAGTCTCTGCTCATGGCATTTTAATTGACTTGTATTGTTCTGTATTACATACATTCCTTACTATACAATGGACCTTGATAAAAGGAAAGAACACGTGAGCAAAGATGAACTTGAAGTAGGAGTATGCTAGTTACCCTACCAAATTGTGTAGTTGTTTTTAGCAGTGGAAGTGAAATGAAATGAAAAARGAGAGGGTTGACAGTAATCTACCTAAGACAAAACTGCCTCATGGAAACTCATGGATATCCTTTAAATCCTACTTGCATCAATTTTGAAATATTCTGTGCTTTGCATATCCACAAGTTCAAAAGTAGGGGATTAGGGGTTAAGCTCCCTAAACTATTTAGTAGCTATAGGGGGAGAAGGGGCTCCCTCTTGTCTCTGTCCCTTGTCTCTGTCCATTATTCTTAATATAATGATGTAATTAATTTTGGTTAATTTAGAATAAAATTGATGTACAACAGTGCAAAACTTCAAATAAGTAAAAGCTGTCTTTCTGTCTGTCCGTCCGTCTGTTTAAGATATGGTCAGTGATTTCTACTTGATTTATTTGAATAACTTGTTTGAATATATTAAGTGATATAATACATCTTATCCACCAGAACAAAGAACCAGTTGGAGATGATGATACACTTCCAAAAGAGATTTTAGACAAACTTGAGTCTCTTACTCCTGATGAAATGCAGGTATTAACAACTGACTTTTCATTGATAAGAGAAATGGTGCTTTTCATATTTTGGTAGTGACATTTTTAATCTGCCCCAGGTCAAGGTCATTAGGAMCAAACTCTAGTACTCTCACCTATAATTCGAAGGAAATGTTTGGCAGATGAATGACATACAGACTATCTAGACTATAGTTCCAYCATTCTTTTTAAGATATATATTATTATGTATTTTCATGTAATTTCACAACATTTTAGTATTTTATTTTTGCATGACTTCAAAACTGCTGGGTTTTATCAATTAAGGTATTAGGATACGTTTACGACCACTTAAATAATGCGCTGGCTTTATAGTATAACACAAACAAAGTATACATTTTCTGAAAGCTGAATAAATATAGTTTATGAAGAAATTTTCAAAATACGATTTTTTTAATATTGTTGTTCACATTATTGTCCTCAAAGTGAAATTTGACCATGCCTCAGTGAAAACGTTAACAGACACGTACATTTTAAGCTATGTTTGCGAAAAATGGCTTAACATACTCAGGAGATAATAAGCTCAAAAAGTGTGTCCCAAATTTTTTTATATCTTTTTCTATCTCTCGCTATTTTTGATCAAAGTTCAGTGATCGCTTTTGGAGTGTTGTTTAGAGTAAAAGGCGTCATAACTTTGGAAAGAAATTAAATTTCAAAATTCGGAGACACCCTTTTTTGGATCATGAGTTACTTAATATAAACTCTCCAAATTTTAGAAAAAAATTTTTTCGAGCAATTTGTCAATTTTTGTATCCTAATACCTTAAGACCTTATTTTTCAAGATGTTACATTGAGTTTCATGTTACTTTGTATAAGAATGAAGTTAARTATTGCTAAACCCCAACACAATTTTGAAGCCATGCATGTGTTAACTGATTTAATACAGAAATTGTATCAATGTGTTCAAAACTTTTGAAATTAATTCCTTTTAAGTAAGAGTGCTCAGATTTGAGTTGTAACTTGCTGCATTTGTTAAAGATTCTCTGGTTTAGCTTTTGAATTACATATAGTTCGTTAACCTTTAAGGTAACAAGATGAACAAAACAAATTATTTTTAACCAAGAGAACCCTGCAAATAAGGTTGACAGTAACCTTAAGAGAAAATTTAACATGGTGTTAACTCTGCCCTGTTGCCCTGAAATTAAGCCTTTTCCTTGTCATCCAGCGCTCAGCACGGAATAGAATAGATATAACTAAATTGAGTTTCAAGAAAATCAAAACATTGTAATTTGTACAAAATCTGATTGCAATTTCTTAAATAGAAATAATAATACAAAAATGCTTTTATAGTGCACTATATGTAGTCTCGGTGTGCTTTACACATAAAATGAAATTGAAAAATACATGAACATAAAATAAACAGTCATAGTGTTAGTGTTYTTATTTGGGAAAAAGGTAGGTCTTTAGCTTAGTTTAAGATGTTGCCAGGTAAACTGGTTCTTGATATCTTCAGAAAGAGTGTTCCAAAGACGTGGAGCAGCATACTCAAAGCTTTGATCACCATAAGACGAGGTTTGTGATGATGGAATCTTCAATAAGTTCTTAGCTGAAGAACRAAGTGATCAAGAAGGTGTATACTGTGTCAACAGTCCAGAAAGATATGTTGGTGACAAACCATTAAGCACATTATATGTGAGCAGTAGGATCTTGTACTGGATACTGAGAACAAAAGYACAGGATATTGACCTTGAGGCTAATTGAAAATGTCACTGGGAGAATATGAAAAGATTATTCATGAATACTTATTTGTTTACCATGAATACTTTATGAAACATAGAATTGAGCAGTCTATAGATGCTAATAAAGTCCTAATACATGCTTATTAAAAAATCTTTTAACAGAAATTAACAGTCAGTCAAATCAAAAATGTTCGCACATTAGTGGATAAAGGAATGGAGACTTGTAATAATGAAGTGACAAGACTAGAAAAACAACGCAAAGAAATGCTGTTTGAAGTTGGCAACCTCCTTCATGAATCTGTCCATATAAGCAACGATGAGGTAATGATCTATTTATAGGATATCTAGTCTTTTCGCACACAGGTTATTTTGCACACACATTTTCGCCAATGTATAAAATTGTTTGTAATATATTATAAGTGCAAATAAGATATAAACAGTGTCATATGTATCAAAGRTCATAACTGCACATGTAATATGAAAATGAGCTAGAAAAGAATTTAACAGTCTGATAATGTTTTGAAGTTCATCTACGTTGTATCTGTCATTTTTGCTACATGTACAGTATTTACAAGCGTAAAACATGAACTCAATATCAATAATTAACTTAACTGAAACCCAAAGAGGAACACAAAATGAAAACCAAGTATTATGGAAGAATAATAATGTGGTTAATATATAAAAATACAGTATTGGTGGCAATCCATGAGTTAAAAATGATTGATACACAGGGTTTCATAGCGTTAGTGGCAGCATTACATGTTTACAAAAACAATGCTGAAACTCGATGTAGAATTGCTTAGTCAGTTATCAAGGCCATCATTTGCTTTTCTTTTTGAAGCATCACATATGTTAAAGTAAAGAAATCAAGAAATCACTTAGTTGATTTGCCAAAGGGTTTTTTCTTTGTAGAAAAAAAAAATGAAGCAACCATAGCAACATAATGCTGAATTTGTAAGCAAAACCTGAAATGGCAAGCATCATTACTAGTAATTTACAAGCRGTATTACATGTTGATTAACCATACCAACACTAGATTATTATCATTGCTGACTCAATAAGGCTGAAGGTCAGCTTCCAGCATTTTGGGAGGCGCGCTCTGACTGGTCAATCTAAGGSAAAGGAATGTGTGGCTAGTTTGAGCAGACGTTTGTGGGGAGGGAAAGGAACGAGCCGACACTAAAAACGTCTGCACAGCAGGCTAGCCGATGTCGGGCTATGAGAACACTAAATCAGAAGCGAGTCTGTCAGTAAAGTGAAATCACACCGAGTTGTACCGTCAGGTCACATTCTATTGTGCTAAGCGTCATGCTTCTCCTAACACTTCTCTCTTGTTCTGCTTTATAACTGCACACAGCATGTGCGTGCGTTTTCTATTTTTCAGTAAAACTAGCCAAATTGCACAGAGGTCAGATAGATATTCTTCATGCTGGACATTGTCAAATCAATGTTCTTTTTGACAAATGACCGTGGAGATTACTCCAAATTTTTGTCTATTTAACAGTTATATGGACTTTAAGCTACTATTCGAAAATACAGATAGAACTACTACTTCTAATGTCAAGAGAAATACAGTTTGAAAGTCTAGGAAGACTGACTGTAAATGCATGTGAACCATATGATTTAAGATTGTATATAGGCTTTAGTTAGTAAAACTTAGGGGAAGATCAAAATAGCAGCTTTTCATATTTGTGCACCCCCCTGGGGAAAATCCTGGATATGACTCCGTAAAATGTTCTACAATATTATTATGTGTTGTTTCACAGGGAGCCCAATTTAGATTAAAGTGAATGGTGAAAATAAAATTGGAAAAATTAAATAATTAATTATTTTTWAAATTCAAGATCAAGATAATGTCCTCTGTAATGTGAAAGTGCAAAAAAATCAATGAAAAATACATTATCTTGATCTTGAATTTAAAAAATAATTAATTATTTAATTTTTCCAATTCTATTTTCACCATTCACTTTAATCTAAATTGGGCTCCCTGTGGTTATTTATTTGACGAATTCATCAATAAATACATTTACCCCAACTTCTGCACGTGTAGGGCTGTAGCAAGGTCAAAAATATTGGGGAAGCTCTCAGGCTCTYGAGCCACACCCATGCATATATATTGAAAGACAGCCAAACGTTCATTTGCACCGCAAAATAAACGAAACCTCACCAATTTAATAAAATCAACGGCAATTAGGTGGCTGAAGGGGTTGCACTTAAATGGCATTATTTAAATCTAGTAGTATTCTGTATACTTTATTATGTAGTTCCAGAAATCATCCATACCCACCCCACAGAGGAATTTGGAATTTCTGAAGAGTAGGGGGTCAGAGAAAGAACAAAAATTACAGAGTTTGTATGGAAGAAAATTTGAATTTCCAGGGGGTAGGGGGGTGTTTTAAAAAAATTCCTCCATGAGGGGGGTATGGATAATTTTTGAAACTACGCATTTTAAATATTGGCTAAAGCAGTTGAAAAGTTATTAGGGGCGGGAGGCCCCTTCGCCTGTCCCCTTGCTATGGCCCTGACATGTAGTAAAAACATAGGAATGTACACACAAAATCTAATAATGGTTTTTTAATGATTTCAAAAATCAGTTATGAACTGTGTGCACTTATTTATCTATTTTTTGTTTATTATAGGATGAAAATCCAGTAGAAAAAACTTTTGGGAACTCTGATGTACGTAAGAAGTATTCTCATGTCGATCTTGCATTAATGATAGATGGAGTAGATACAGACAGAGGTGCTGCTGTTGCTGGAGGAAGGGGCTATTTTCTTAAGGTATGAGTATTGAGTTTTATAAGTTTTTTTGACACCAAAAGAGTCAGACACTTGAAAATCTGTGCTGGCTTGTAGCATAGTAGTCACACAAAGTTTTTTTTGGGAAAATTAGATCTTCCTCATTTTACTGGCAAATAGTAGTATGCTGTACTCAGCCTCCCACTACAAACAGTAATCCTTAGAAATCTGCATTTTCCAAGGACGCAGCATTGGGACAATCTTTGAAATACATTCATAAAGGGTTTGTAAAACTACAGTAGATAAAACACAAGAACAACCCAGTTGCCTTGTCAACTGACTTTTGGCCATGGGTCTTTCGATATCCTACTGTTATTCCATCAACAATCCATTGTCACCTGGTCATTTCATAGCTGACAGTTTGTAAAGAAAGGAAACTACCTACGTCAATAAATGGTCATTACAGTGCGGCTACTAGAAGCTGGGTCATTTACAAAACAAACCAATCAAAATGTAGAATGAAAAAAAAATGCATTTGCCAACATCATTTCCTTGTATAAAAAAGATAAAAAGATATGTTGAATGGCAATATTGTTTTCTGCTGGTTTCTGATTGTTGGCTCCACTACCCAAAGTTGGGATACATTGTTTTGATACTATATTTTGATTGGTCATTGCTATGGAAATGGCCTCAAATATCTAAACAAGCAGTCTATTATTAATGTCCACATTGTATCTTCTGCTGTGTGTTTTAGATGATACTTTGGCACTGTTTGCACCAAGAATGGATAGCACTCTATGTTGGATAAATCCTTATCCAGTGGATACAAACAGAGATAACAACATTACTTTATCCAGGGAATAAGGATTTGTTCAACAGATAGTGCTATCCATTCTTCATGCTGCTGCCACCAGTTATAAATTGTGATACACTGTTACCAGCTTTTAATTGGAACTTTGATTTGAACTAACTTGTACTGTTACATGAATTTTTTTCTAGGGGCCTCTGGTATTTCTTGAACATGCTTTGATTCAACATGCAACAAGAATGCTGTATGAAAAGGGCTTTGTGCCAATTATGACCCCTTATTTCATGCGCAAAGAAGTTATGCAGGAAGTGGCCCAGCTAAGTCAGTTTGATGAGGAGTTATATAAGGTCAGTAGCCTTCAAATATTTTGAGGCATAGTGCCTCTATATATTGATTCAAAACACCCCGCATTTGTTTTTTTTATTATGTACTTCATATTATACAGTAGGTTTACCCCACATGCACTTCCACTAATTTATTATTTACAACACTCAACACTCAACCCACATGTTGATATTTATGGAAGTGATCTTTATGGAAGTGATCTTTATGGAAAAACCCTTGTGCAAAGAAAACAACACATCTAACAAACTCCACTCACATGATATATTATATAATTATCATATTATTATTGTTATTATGTCATATATTATGAGTGGTGATAACTAGTAGAGTAGCAGCGTGGACTGCCTCGGTGTTTCTGAATAAAACAGCAGGAACTTGTGGATAAATTGAATCACCATAAAAAAGCTTTGTGAAACTGACGTTTCGGACATTAGTCCTTCATCAATTTATCCACAAGTTCCTGCTATATATTATATAGCTCAGTAGGGAATTGAACTTTTGACCCAGGTGTGAATTACAAAGTGGTGAGAGACAGCAACATGGCATTGTATGGAATACCAGTCTTTTTGATCTGAAGTCTTTTTGATCCAGGTTTTTTTGAACCACCTATATACACTTTCAATCCACATACATACACATTCGATCCAATACAGTTATGAAATGTTTTATAGATGTTTAGTGTTTTCTTTCGGAAATATTACAGAAATGTTAAAGAAATATCACAGAAGTGAACCAATTCAGCAAGTAAACCAACTGAGGGAACCAAGTATCGTGTGTGATATGTGTTAGTATTGCTTACAAAGTTAAGTTAGCCCCCACTGTCAATTATTCTTGTTCACGTAAAGTCTTCAGCAAGAAAAAATGTTTTCTCCCTTCATGAATATGAAGGCTCCTAGTGAATAAAGTGAAGGAATATCATGAAGAAATCAACAACTTTAGAAGCGAATGATTACTGTTGTGTGACAAGCGTGTATGACAATTAGCGGGGTGTGTTGTTACCGTCTCGTCAATGAAACGGTTAAACCTTCGGTTTGGTAACGACTTATTTTTTGAATTTTGGAATCTTCTTCTGAAACTTTTTTATATCCAAGAAGCTTTAAAATGCTTTTCAAACGAATAAAAATAGAGAAGCATTACAAAAGAATAAAGAGAAGACAGATTATTCATGAATTAAAGGAACAATACATAACACAGCACTGTGGTTATAATAAAGGTGACGAGGTTATGCACTAGTCAAAGTAACCCCTCACCCCCCCCCCCCCCAACCGGGGACAGGGTGGGGGCAATGTGGGGTATGAGATATGAGATATGATAATAATTTCAGAGATAACGATTTCAGAGATAATAATTTCAGAGATAATAATTTCAGAGATAATAATATCAGAGATAATAATTTCAGAGATAATAATTTCAGAGATAATAATTTCAGAAATAATAATTTCAGAGATAATAATTTCAGAGATAATAATTTCGGAGATAAAACTTATTATATAGTTACCAATGAAATATCAATTTTTCTCTATTTTTACGCTCCCTCGTGAGAGATCTTTTCAACACTCGAAGATAAAATTCGTATCTCCGCGTGCGCGCACATGTTATATCCTCTATTTATGCAATTACACTGATCAAGTCTTTGCTTCGTCTCCTTTAGATCGATTCATATGCATTATGAACTCCGTCAAAGCCCCTGTTCGGGGCCATAAAGTCATAACTTGAAACCTTTTTCTTCGAGTCAGTTAAAATTTTATTTCTTTAACTTGTTTACTTTCACGCTTCTTGGTAACTAACTAACTTGTATAAAGGGAATAAAGTATATCTCTCGGGACATTTATTAAACAACTCGTCCTCGCTTTGTTTTTAATATTTCACTTTGAACTTTTTTAATCCCTTGTTCACGAGTTTGTTCATCCCCTATGTTTTGGTAAGTAAAAGTCATTCAATGAATTTTAATTATATCATATGAGCTATATTATCGAGTATCCACTGGCATCCACTCTAAACGAGTATAGTATAGTATGATCTAAATGCAGAACACCCGACAATATATCTCCAATATGAATGACTTTCACTTACCAAAACATAGGGCTATAACGGAGTTCGTAATGCATACATTGATCTAAAGGAGACGAAGCAAAGAGCTGATGTCATTGCATAATAAGTTTTAAATTATTATCTCTGAAATTATTATCTCTGAAATTATTATCTCTGAAATTATTATCTCTGAAATTATTATCTCTGAAATCATTATCTCTGAAATCATTATCTCTCAAATTATCATCTCTGAAATCATTATCTCTGAAATCATTATCTCTCAAATTATTATCTCTGAAATCATTATCTCTCAAATTATTATCTCTCAAATTATCATCTCTGAAATCATTATCTCTGAAATTATTATCTCTGAAGTCTGAAGTCCCTTCTCGGCTTTCGTAATTATACACTCAACTTAGCCAATGATATTACCACTTCATGTTTAGATACAGTTATTAGATACCTTAAAAAAAGAATTTAAAACAACGTCCTACTATTTAAGTCAGTTGGAAGGCGTTGTTTGAAAAAGTCTGTGGCACTGATGTAATCATCATGCCCAGCCAAACTCATAGTCCAACGCGCATAGTTTCGATTTCTTTTTTGAACATGATAATCTTTTAGTCGGTACTCATGACAACTTTTTTAACTATACTCTTTTACATTTTGCATGTACACAGCATATAGGACTTGTCATATGCTTTATTTATATAAGTGGATTGAAAGTGCAATAGGTGGTTTGAAAAGACCTGGATCAAAAAGACTTTGGATAGAAAACACTGGATACCCTTTGCATGCCACCCAAATTGGTTGATAAACAATCATTTTCAAACTTCACTGACTACTGTAATTATTATATTACAAACAAATAATTCATATTCCCATTTTATATTTCTCATTAGGATTATGATACATTATCTTGACAAAACTTCAGTTAATCATTATTGATTAGCTATATGTGGGTTTATGAAATCTTATCAATAAGCAAAAAAACTGTTTAATGTTAGGTTGTAGGCAAGGGTGCTGATGAGGCTGGTTATGAAGAAAAATATCTAATAGCTACAAGTGAACAGCCAATTGCTGCTTATCATCGTGGTGAGTGGATGGACAAGAATGATTTGCCAAAGAAATATGCTGGATTCTCTTCATGTTTTAGACAAGAAGTTGGCGCTCATGGGCGTGACACCCGTGGTATTTTTAGAGTACATCAGTTTGAAAAAGTAAGATATATTATTTTATTTGTTGAAACATTACAGTGCAGACACATTATACCAGGACCACTAAAAAGCTTTAGCCAATCAGGAGAGAGCACAATCAGTATTATATTGACCTTAGCTAATCACAATATCTCATTCCCACAGTTGTTGATATGTTGTTGATAAGTTTTTCCTTAGATATATATTATAAGATCTAGGCTTCACTACTCTTGATTAGTTTAATTTTGACGACCATGCCATTATTTGAGCCCACAATGCGCACAGAACTAAAACCATTTAAAACTGCAAAAAATCTTCCTAATATTATTTGATTTAGGAACAACACCTTTTGAACTTCAACAGGGTAAAACCCTTAAATTTTGAAGGGGACTTAAATTTTGATTTTCTAAAAGAGAACATAAAAAAAAAACTTGACAAAGTTTGAAACAAATGACATGGGTTCTACACATACTGTCAAGCACAAAACGAATAAAAAAATTAAGTTTCACTATATTTCTCAAACATTTCCCAAATGTTTTCACTCATGCTTGTAAAAAGAGATATAATGAAGGAAAATGTCAATTAAGCTTTATTACCATTGATGTTTTGAATTACTTTCATAGGAGGTTTTTTTATTGCTCCTTTTCCTCTCAACAATTGTTAATACACTTGTGTTCAATCGTGAATATCTCAAAAATGACTTAGGGACACAGATTTAAAATCAGCCATAAATTTGGGTTTAAGAAATCGTGATTCCAATACATTTTTATGGATTTTTCTATAGTAGGCAGCCACCTCAGGTTGTTTTCTTTGCTTTCAATCTACAGTATGTAGTAATTGGTTAACTTTCTTCAAGGGGTCCAGACTAGTGTGTCTGCACAATAATTCCAGATAGTTATTAGTTTTTGATTTAATAAATGTCCCCTGGTTGGCTTAGTTTGCCAGGCACTGTTCTGATGCATAAATGAGTGATCAGGGGGTCAAGCCCCTGAAGGTTTCACCTTTGTTATTAAAAAAACATTTTCTAAAAGGTTACAGGGTTGGTACAGGTCATGGAAATCGTGGAAAGGCATGGAATTTTGTATTTTCGTTTTCCAGGCCTGGAAAGTCATGGAATTATGTTCAGGGTCATGGAAAATCACTGAAAACAATGCTATACATTATTCATGTGAACAGTAGAGATGTTGCAATAATTGTTTTTAGTTATTATTTAGATCTTTAGATCTTGGGAAATGCTCAATAGACATGTATTCTCAATCAATCAAATCAATCGATCAAAAACGTTATTTACATTTGAATTTAAATAGCACATAGATGCTAATATTTCCGAGGTCTCCTTTAATTTAGAGACATCTAAGACAGATTACCACAAATTCATAGTTGGGTCTTGTCTTGACAGGTTGAGCAGTTTGTGATTTGTTCCCCTCATGACAACATTTCATGGGAAATGTTTGATAGTATGGTCAAGAATGCTGAAGAATTTACACAATCTCTTGGTATTCCCTACAGAGTTGTCAATATTGTTTCTGGTAGGTTAAGTCTTGTTATCAGGCTATTAGTTTGGAAAACCATAGCATACTTTTATTTAAAGAAATATGTATTATTCTTATGTATATTCAACAACAGAAGTAAGAGAAGTTTAAGCATAATTAGGATTTTATTCTTGTAATTTTGAGAAGTTATTAATGTTTTGAATATAAGCATAAATGAAGCTGCATCCTCCATCAACCCTCTGCTATCAATGAATAATTCATTTGGTGCCTTTGTTGGCAAAGAAAGACAGTAGTTTGTCAAACAGTCTGGTACTCCTTTAAAAATATGCAAATACTATTTAAAACTGACCATATATGACTGTTAGTGGTAATTTATTTTATCAATCATAGCTGTACAACAATAACTGGTTTTATTTGGACACTTTAGGAGCACTCAATAATGCTGCAGCTAAGAAGCTTGATCTAGAGGCTTGGTTTCCGGGTAGTGGTGCATTCAGAGAGTTGGTGTCTTGTTCTAACTGTACAGACTATCAAGCCAGACGGTTACAAGTACGCTATGGCCAGACAAAGAAGATGGGAGCAAGTGTGAGTACTTGGAACCAATAATAATTATTGTGATTATATAATGGGTTGGTCTCAATGAAAAATATTTCTGAACACACCAGGGGAAATTGGAAATTTTTTGAGGAATTTAGTTCTCCTCACTCAGAAAAAAAATTGCAGACAAGATTCAAACCCAGCACCCTCTGTGCTAAATTCTTGTGATAATGTTACAGCATTTACCATGTTACAACATTAGTGCATGCCTGTGATCATATGCATATGAAATGAAATGCGCATTAATATATAATCATCGATGAAATGTAATGTTTTGATTTTCAAAGTTGGTACTTTTCRCTACTAGTAGGCTATGACTTTTTGCCTAGTAGTAACTTATCCAATCACGACGCACCATTGATGATAGATCACTAGTTGGATTTGACTAATATAATATGTACCCGGGGGGGTACTACCCCCCCAACTTGGGTAGGGGTGTGCTGCCAGGACCTCAAAACCCTGACCCTATCCCAGACCTAAAATTTTGATTTTACATACCCTACCCCAGACTAAAACTAAGAATTATACACCCTATCCCAGACTAAAAGACGGAAAATACGGTTTTAAGATCGATTGCAATCAATATTTACAAACATTTTTATTGTTTTTGGTCGGCAGAAAGCATAGCCTATTCACCAGACAAAAACGACCAAATTGTTAACCCTACCCCAGACTAAAATGATACCCTATCCCAGACAAAATGTCAAAAAATGATACCCTGCCCCAGACCCAAAAACCGAAAAACCATACCCTATAGGGCGGCACATACCCGTATAGCAAATATAGGGGAGTACCCCCCCCCCCGGGAATATGTACATATACTTATTTCAAAAAAGGTAGTCACCTGAAAAGCCACAAAGCTGAGACCGGCAAGGATCAATTGGTAGATACATTTAATATGTTTCAACAGCTTGAAAAATATTGATGGACTTGAGATTGTTTACATTCACAGTTTCACCTCCTGTGAGCATCCTCAAGCTGCAGTTTGTATTAAAACCTTCACTTGTTTAAATATTGTCTACCATGTCTCCTCAGCGGTCTCAGCTTTGTACATTTTTGGTGACTAACTTTATCGAAAATAAGTATATAGTGTATATATAGCTATTGTAGGGTAAGACTACTGGCCAAATGAGTTTGCATATTGAAATTTGATTATGGAATTCCATTTGAAATTCGCATAGACAGCTGACAGTTCTCATACAGGACGTTATTACCAGATCAATGAATGACAATTTATCAACATTTTGAATATGTTCTAAATTATATTTAGCATTAGTTAGTTAACAAATTGCTCATAGATTTCCATTGTCTCTTATTGAACATAGATAATAACGTCATCAAATGTTTCAGTGTAAAGTTTTGAACATTTGAAGACATTATTATCTATGTTCAATAAGAGGACAGACAATGGAAATCTACGAGTGGTTTTTTTTTTACAATAAAATGAATAAAAAAACATCCAAAAATGAGTAAAAAGTTTTGAAGAAAAGCGGTTTCAAGTGCGCTCTGGCTCTGTGCGCAGCAATTCGTCATGCTATGTGTCTGTCCTCTCATTGATCATAGCTGTCAGCCAATCACTTTGTGAGAATATGCTGTTATTGTAAAAACTTAAATTGATTTAATGCTGTTCACTTGTTCTTTCAGACTGAGTATGTGCACATGCTGAATGCTACAATGTGTGCTGTTTCACGTGTTATTTGTGCCATACTTGAAAACTTCCAGGAAGAGGAAGGGATAGCTATCCCAAAAGCCCTTCATCCTTACGTTCCCCAGGACCTGCATTTCATGAAATTTGTGAAACCTGCTCCTATAGATGAGAAACCAGAAGCAAAGAAACACAAAAAGAAAGGGAAATCTAAAGTGGCAAATGCTGCTAATGAGTCAGGCTGTCTTGACACTAAAATGCAATCTTTAAATGTGGAAAAGTAATGCTTTGTGATGACATAGACTTGCTCTAAATTAAATTAGATTTGAGTCCGACTTTCATGAATTTTATGATAGAAAATCTAAGATGAATAAAAGATGTTTCAGTGGCTTTGAAATAGGTTTTTGTGGTCTGAGTGCAACACTTGACACAATTTTATTTGAAAAGATAATAGATTGCCTAATTTGTTTTTTTCTGAGGTTGAGGTTCTGCTTTGCAGTGCATTGTGTGACTGTTTGAGGGGTCATGTTCCAATGGTGTCTATTTCGTCTCCTAAAACAATCCTACAATGCACTGCAATACCAACTCGACCAGGTTTTTCTCCTCAACCTTGCAATGGCTAATTCAAGAGGACTTTCATAATGCTATTTTCTAAGATTAAACCAAAGCTGGATTATATCTTGTAGCTATTTGTAGTTTTGATAACCAAACATGAATTAGCATTTTCATTTGAAAAACTGTGCCAGAAGACTAGAAAAAAGAAAAGATAATGCAACATAAAACAAAAAAAAAAGGTTCTGGGAGTGCTTTATTCTGCCTCCGATACCATCATTCAGTCATGCCTGGTTTTTCCACTTGACAAACTTCTATCAATCTTGGGAAGTTGATAAAATTTGACATGAACTTAGCTATATTATGGGCAGATCAGCAAATTTTAATATGGGCAATATGGGCCTTATCACGTGGCAGCCATGTTGGATTGAACAATAGATTCCACCAGAGAGCGCTTGAGAATTAATTTATGCTGGGCAACAGTGGCATAACCAGGGATCTTGCAGGGGAGGTGCATAGGCAATGATTTGCAGAACCAAAAAAAAAAAAAAACCAGAATGCTACAATATGCAGATGGAAAGTGGTCTTCATTTAATCAAAGGAGAAAAAGGAGATAGATGAGTGGACTCTAAGCTTTCATGGGGGGTGCACATGCACCCTGTGTTCCCACTTGGTTATGGCCCTGGAAAACAAAGGTTTTTATTTTCATTAGAATAATCATGGCTGCCGTGTGATAAAGGTCCATTCTAGAGTGATTTCACTTGGCATGTGAAACAAAGTTGTATTATTTAGTGACTAACAGTCCAAGTAAAACAAAAACAATGGAATTTTTGTCTACTGTGTTAATGTTGACTATTCTTTCATGAGCAAAGTAAAATCACCATGTTGAAACCAATTGATTCCAAGCTAGGAAAAGCTGTAAAATTCACTGTAAAAATTGAGCATATCTCTGATCTCACAACCATGAAATTTCTTCCATTAAAATGGGTCTTACTTGCAGGATGTATTGTATTTTGGGTTAGGGTTATTGTATTGCAGGGTATGGTTTAGCTCCAAACTCATTGTTCTCTGCTATTGTTTTCTTGTGTTCATGGTCAGGTGCCCTGCAACACCAAGAGAGCCATTAAAACACCCAGTATTATTTTTTGTTCCGTGCGATATATTGAATTTATAGTGACCTCAACTCCAAATTAGTTTTAAAGTGTATATGACACGAAAACATTTCATCGTTTAAAATGTATAGTTTGTTAGTAATAATAAATACATTGTGACGAAATTTATTTCAAAAGATTATATCTTGAGATATGTGAGAAAATTAAGCCCGATTTGTGACCTCATTTTGTTGACACATACTCTAGATTCGGTAGTAATGCACTAAATTTAAATTATCATAATTCATATAAACTAACAACAAATGGCATATTCTATTCAGCTTCATTCGATAGCTCACATAGTACTCTTTAAATACTGGGATTAACTGAAAAGTGTACTACCTGAAATTAAGATTCTACATTCAAACATATTTCGTGTATTTGCAACTAAATCTGGAGACTTGTGCTAAATTTTCTCGAATTTCTAGAGAAATAACTTTTTGAAACAAATTTAACAGTGATATTCTTATTAATGCCAATAAACTAAATTAAAATTTCACTGGGAAAACTGCTGCAAGAGTAATTGGTTTTCTATTGTCCAGAACCATGAATTGAGTCACACAAATTAAGCATTCCAAAGACGTAGCCTTCCACCTTAAAACCTTTTCTTTTTTGATAAAAAAGTTTTTAAATTAAAGATGAGAATAGAACTGAAGAGGTTTTTTTTACTAAGTTCAATAATACAACCTAATTATTAAAGGGATGACTAGAATAAAAACGACAATGCAAATCTTATTGCAATTTATTGGGGAACCTTTGAATAAAACAACCTGTCATATCAGTATAAATACAGTGACTGGCGTCCGACTTGCATCACAACATGTTTACAATAATACAAAAGAAACTTTTCAATCTTGGTCTTTTCCATGTATTAACACTCAGTGTCTCATCAATTTACAAAATATCAAAGTTTATTGAAAGCACTCATTATTTTATTACTTTTCATCACTAAATCGGAAGCTTACGTAAAGCTCCTTGAACTTGTCAAATCCAGCTAACACACCAGCACCAGCCATTCCTCTGAGGATGTTTGCACCAGCACCCTTCATTAATGACATCGCACCTTCACTCTTGATGATCTTTATGGTACAGTCAAGTGAACCCTTGTACTTGACTGCCTGTCCAGAGGTCATCATCATACGTCTACGGATGGTATCAATAGGATATGAAGCCAGCCCAGCAGATACAGTCACGCCATAACCAAGAACAAAGGAAATGATAACTCCAGCATCTTCACCAAGCAATATAGGCTTTAAGGTGTCATACAAACCGAAGTAGAAACCACGGTAAACGACAATGCCTACACAAGAAATGACAAAACCACGGTACAGCCCAGCAATGCCATCACTCTTCAAGGTCTTGGAGTAGACATCAATGATACCATTGAACTCTCGCTCTCCACCTCCTTTTCCAGACTTGGCATCATTTGCAAGCCTTGTTCGGCAATAGTCAAGTGAGTAGACAAAAAGAAGAGACATAGCACCAGCAGCACCACCAGAGGCAATGTTCTTGCCGAACTTTAAACCATAGCTGTCACTCTTCTTTGGCTTGAAGAGGGCCTTTACTTGATCCTTGAAAGCAAAGTTCAAGGCTTGAGTTGGAAAATACCTGATACAGTTTGCTAAATTACCTATGATTTAAAAAAATCAGAAAGGTATTAGAATAATTTTAAGACATGTTTCCCCCCTAAGGTTTAACATCATTTTAGCAATCTAACTATCACCAAAGACAGCTATGGTGTCTTTGGGTCTCTTCATTGGTTGTTACATTTTGATAAGTTCGTGCTTAGCTTTGCCTTGACATCCAGACTTTTGGTTAAAACAAAACTAATTGTTTTCCTCATGAGCATTCATTAACCATGTACTGACTGTTAAATATCATTTTTGAATTGATTTTTTTTGGGCCATTGATCATTGTTGCAATGATTGCCAGCAGGCTTTTTCCTTATTTAACACCAAGTACTATGATTCATATAGCACCCTTATTTCATATGGATATGATCAAGAGTGCTTTACAAACAGTTACAAATTTGTGAGGTGGAGTTGACACCAAGGGTGGTCACTGCAAGGTTTTCATTAGATCTTCAGTGGTTCTCTTACAACCCTCTGATATTAGTTATTATTATATAGATATTGATGAAATACCAGGTTTTCTCTAGTGTCAAAAACTTGATATTTTTCACCAGTGGAAGATACCATATCTTTCACACGTGAAGATATCTCTGTTGAATCGGCTTACTATTTTAATAAAGAATTTTTGAGCTTTTGTTTTATTTAAAGTGCCTATGACCCTTATTTTTTTACTTTCTTATATCAAAATATAAGCTATTCTAAGAAACGTGTCGAAAGAATTTTTTGATTCTGATGCTTCTTTCTATTTTAATCGAGCGGTCAAAAGTGCGAAAATTGGCATTTCTTTGACCTCTGGCCGCGTGAAATGATAACCTAGGGGACTGGGCTGTGACATAGTAGTAAATTGGGTTTAGATGCTTCCTCATTCTCTCTAGATTTCACTAGCATTTATGACCAATTTGCCGTTTTTTTACGCCTTCAAAAGTCCTTATGTTTGTGGTTAGAGGATGTTAAGAGTGACTGTCTGTAACCATCGAGCAAAACGTGGCAAACTTCGAAAAATCGATTTCGCTCATACTTTCAAGTTAGTTAGGGTAATGTATCCTAAGAATCGCTGTATAGTTGGTTTGATCAAATAACGCTTTATTATGGAGAAAAATGGAATTTTTCAAACACTCCCGAAAACGCC